TATCTGCAAGGTATTAGGGTGCGGGTTCGGTACTGGCATTTATATACCGTGGTGCGGTTCCGGCGTTGCAGTCCAAGCGACCCGAGATGACAGATCCGAGATGGCCTGTGCGAGGGAGACTGGGATGTTAGTTAGAAATCATTGCATTTATCTTAAAATGTCTAATGGCTCATAGTGTACTTGTCATGTCACCGCATTTGGCACCATGGTAGGCTGCAGTTAGAATTCAGGACTATCTCCAGCCTGAGCCGTTTCTTAGAATTCACTCTTGAGCTTTCATATACCGGATCTCAATTTCTTCATTCCTCTTCAAGCCATTGATACGCGGCGCTCAAGAGTCATCAGTAAAATACCACATTCCTTCAATTAAGTTAATCATGACTTATTTTACTTGGCTTGGCGCCCAAGTTCATCAACAGTGATTATATCTCAATGCAATCACTTTCATTCTCTATAATCTATACCCGGGCCTCATCATGTTCACACCCATATGCATGCCACTTCCTGTTGTTCTATCCATGCCCAATGAATTAATCATTTCTTATTTTTTTATTGATTTCTTACCGTTTTACAAGCTTGGAGCTTATTTATTCTTAATGTACAGAATTCAAGTTCTGTCAAGTCACTTGTCACTCGAAGACGAAAGACTTATATTAAGTCGGTCGTCTTTGAAAAAGACCAATTATTGGCTACAAATTTAAGCTCATTGAGTTAATGCTCGAAACGTGGTATTTTATCGGATGCAGTGGCGACCAGCCTCCAAATAAGAGTGCATCATAGTACACTCTCGGAATAGTATGAGATTGACAGTGGCTTTGCCTCATGGGCTTAAGGACCTTACCTATTGGTTAGGCTGCAAGGTTTGAGAGACGCATGAACGAACATTCTGTTCAGTTTAAGTAATATATTTAGACAGGGGCCATCGAGGCCGGAAAATAATTACATTTACCCCCCTCACTAAAGTGCCTTATGTAACATAGACAGAGTAAGAACGATTGTACGAGTAGAAAAAGACACCCGAGGACAGCCAAGTAAGAGTCTGCGACAGATGCTGCTCAAATTAGGGGACATATTCGAAGTCCATACATTCATAAAGGTCTCGGGATATGTATCGCATTTGTCCATAGACCTTTTCTGGACCATGTCTCAGGTGACGACTGCCATAGCGCAATGATACCTAAAATCACACCAGCTCTTCCTTCGACACAAACGAATACGGTTGATCGGTATCACAAACATCTTCTTGTTACCATTCTCCTTCAGCTGCACCTTCACGCCCTCGTTGTTGACAATTCCTTTCCTGCCGAAATCTTTGAGTGGGAGACTCCCAGCAGCGCATGCCATGATAAGATGAAGAGTGTTTGACACGTCGAAGTGGGCCCTGTGGTGACCGCGATATCCATGATGCTCTTTCCAGGCCTCCAGAATACTGTACAACGCGGAGAATAAAGTGAGGGTAGTGATAATGGTGAGCGGAAGTGTAGCGAGCAGATATGTCGGCGAATTCTTAGGCCAGCGAGTCCAGCCAATTGTCGATATGAACATGGTCCCAGTAACTTGGGAAGAGAGGTTGTTCGGGATCTCATTATTTAGGAAGCTACCTGTGGCCATGAACCCAGAGCGAAGGAACTGTGAAATGATGCTAGGTCAATTTAGACAATATTGAACGGACCAGTGACCTCACCGTAGCGGAAAATTCGACAACACCACGCCAGTAATCCTCCTAAGATGTCATAAGAGGTGGATCAAGATTGTATGTCATGGAACTGACGAGCTCAAGGTAAACCTGCGTGTCATTGAGATTGTTATTGATGTATCCGATAGTGGTCGAGGAATAGACGGAGTACAAGGTATCCCCAATCGTGCTACTCGTAAGTCCCTGCGAGTTGATCGACTGAAACCTGGCAACTCCAGCGATAAACGACAGTAGCTCGACATTCTCTAGCTGGAAAGGAGTGTATGAGATCACCTCCGAAGAAATTTGTTCGTTGGAATAATCGGCGCGGACTGTGGTCAACAGGGGAACCACATCGCACACGCTTGCTTTAAGGAACCCATACTTGTAAAACCCCTGTGTAAGAATGGCTACAAGAACAGATTCGGTCAATGACTCCAAACGCATATTTCAATTGCTCACTGAAGTTTGTATAAGTTTGGTTCACATTCATTGGTCCTTGGCACACAACAGACGGAAGGAAGCCACTCCCTGATGAGTTCGTATTTCCATTTGCATCGACCATGGTCACATATTGGTACGTTGTCAGCGCATCTAGAAGCTGTCAGTGAACGTGAGAAGAGATGTCCAAGATCCAAACTTACTGGTACCACAGTTGGTACTGATATTCCACAAGCGGAGACCGGTGATGGTATTGTTCGAACTTGAAGCAGCTGCGTTGGCATAGATGACGTAAGAGTTGTTCGCGTCCCAAAGGTACTGCGTTTGGCTCGAGTCGATGGCCCGGCAGCTGACATTGGCTGTTAACCCTTGTTGCGACATGGAATAGTTCCTGCTGAAGCCTTGAGGAATAGGCACGCTGGGGTGTGATCCAGGTACGGCTCCTGTGTTGACCGTAACATTTCCGCCAGAAAATCCAAGACGAGTACCATTGGCACCCGGAACTCCATCCGAGCCGGAATACTCCTCAATGGTGGGCACAATCCCCCCTATATCCACAATACATCATCGCAAAACAGCTTCAAGTAACCTAAGAATCTGAACCTACGAGTAGATACATTATATTCTGCGCCATTGAAATTGAATGTCCCAGGAAGACCAAAGGTAAACCCTGCAGCAGTAACACCACTAAGCATTCCACCGACGTCGAGGATTTCGAAAGCACTGTCCTGGACTTGGTTATCCCATTTTACAAGCCACTCGTCAACTCGAGTAGAAATACACACTAAGACCATTTGCTAAGAATTCTTGGCGAAGCAAGGCGGCAAACGCGCTTCCGGTTATGTCAAGTTCGGATCCATTCAACTGTACTGGCCACATGAAGTAGGCCGGTGTCAAGAGAGTTGTCCACCTATGACTCCATTCAAATGAGAGGATCTCGGCAATGCTTCCAGAGAAGACGCACCCGGCCGTTAAGAGCTTCAGCATCCCGAAGATGAACAGCGTCAAGATGGTCAAGCCTATATATCGGTGTTTCAGAATATGAGAGCCCTGTGCCAAAGCGACACCAGTGCTCAGGTGAATTAGAGAAATGGGCTTCCACATTCGATGTCTTAGTGCCTCTTTGACCGAGAGCATAAAAAGACTAGCGGAAAAAAATCACGTCTTACTGAATGATCAGTCTGAGAGAGCAAAAGGTAGACAGACGTAGCAGCGGTGACTGATAGTACAGTTGCTATCAATGTGACGACCATTGTTAACTCTCCAGGATGGTTCTTCATCAACTCACAAACTGAATCGGATGGAGCAAGGTACTCAAAGTAGGCAACCGCACCAAGGAATCCGTATCCAAATGTCAGGATAACGATCTGAATACTGATGATAACTGTGAAGCGTACAAAGTTGGGCGGGACGTGAAACATCGCAGGAAACGCAGGCGCAGATTCTATTCTGCCATTCGGATAGAAGTATTATATACTCACTTATATACTTGACGGAACACGAACCTTGCTGCATGCACACCACTGACGCAGCCTGGACTACAGAAGCACTCGAGCGGAACCCGTGACCCGAATGAATACTGTGTATGCGCGAGATGCACGCAATGAAGATGATCAGCAGCGCAGCTATTACCAACATGGCAAGCCAATTCAGATACATCGCGTCCTTTAAATTTTGATTCGTTCTGGACGGGTCTTCGGGGGGTTGAAGGCGAACTTAGTGTCAAGGACATACTGGAGATGTATGAGATCCAACGTTTCTCTGTGACTTTGTTAAAGGTTCAGATTCGGAGATGGTAGCAACATATGTATACGTTGATTTGCCTGCTCAGTTTGCTTTTGCTAATAAATTGAATTTCAGCGCTATGAATACTTCGAAGAAGCTCACTGGGGCATCACCGGGAGAAATGCGCTTAATTTCCAATACCCGTAACAAATCACACCCTCAGCAAGCAGTGACCCTGGAACATCCTTCGAGCTTTGAAAGGTAAGGAGAGGGCGTGTGAGTCGAAGGGACTTCAATGTATTGGAGGGCTGCATGTCGGATGACTGCGGCGGTTTAAGGCCACTTTCCCACAGTATGTTTGCTGAAGCTTGGGTGGTTAAGCTTTGAGCACTTCATTACCGTTCAGGTTGGAACACGGAGATCGCATTAACTACAAGCCAGAGCCCGATGGAAACCACCCTATGTGACTACGAGACGATAGATCCGAGTATGAATGGTGCAACACCTCAACGAATCGGCGCAGACGCTATTACGTTCCAGGCGCTTGGAATCCATTATATGCATCCTTGCTATATGAAGTTGTTATGCCATCGATGTAATTCATGCGTTAGTATCTGCAAGGTATTAGGGTGCGGTTCCAGCACTATAGTAGGCTGCGTCCCAGGACCGTCGGGATACGCTGTTTCATAGAATTCCCTCTTTCGCGTACCGAATCTCAATCCCTTCATTCCTCTTCAAGCCATCATGGTGCTCAGGACCATGCAGCTGCCCTTTAGCCCATCAGCCCCAGCGGCCGCGACAGGGTGAATGGGGTCGCAGTAATCAAACACAACATCGTCTCCCTGTGGATATTGCAGTTCGTTCTTTAGACTGAATCCGGCGGCAATATGATCGGTAACAAGCCACATCATCGTAAAGATGACAAACAGAAACAAGTAGATGGGACGCTCTTCTTCCCGACCATTCGTAGCAACACCGGAAGGTATTTCTGTCCAGGGAGGACCGCCAGTGGCGGAGAAACCAGATCTCGGAAACTACCAGGGATGAAGCCATCACCATATTCGCCAGAAGAGGTGATCGCAGCTTTCCGTGTCACTGAGTTCTACCACCTCACTCCAATAGCCTTCTGCAGTCAATAGATTATTTACGTCTAAGCATAGCAGTGGCAGATTTCCTACCAGTTGACAGGAAATGACATCCGTTGAATTGCTATCAACACAAACAATTATGCAGTCCCGATAACATTGGTCTGGAAGCCTCAATCGCTCCCCGCTTGATAATTGATCGCACTCGCGATGAGCTCTGTGAGAGCCGTGTTCGAGTCTTCGAAACGACGACGATCAGCTGCTGCTGCCGAGTGTATTCCTTGATTATATGCGTCCACTGTCGTCACGTACAGCACAACCTCGCAAACAGTTGTAGGCAGGAACGCATATTTAGCATGGCCTGCCATCAGAATATCTTTGAGGGAAGTTATGTTGGTGAGCACATAGTAAACGGGCAGGCTCGTTCGCTTACCAAACTTGTACGGGCTGAAACCTAGGGAGCCTAGCTGCGGAAATACAACTGTCGGAAGAAAGCCCTCAGTATCTGGTTCATTTCGAGAGTGATTGCATTTGTAAAGGTGGTGCATAACATAGAGCTATTTCCTGTAATACACGATGTGATACTTTGCTTAGAATTATAGGAATGATTTGCTTGCCATTTGGATACTTTACTACCACTTCCCACATCGTCAAGCCGACGCTGTCCCAGTGGGAAATGAAACTATGCTTGAATAGGCACTATAAGAGTAGATAGAAACGTCCCACTCTCCGCAGTCAACCCCTGCGGTGAGGGTCATGGTATATTTTTTTCCCAAGACCCCGGGGAGGGGAACCAAAAAGGTCACGACCAAGGTCGATTGTCACATCAAGAGGCACGAAAACACTGGTGGAAGCAAGTCCAACTGCAATCTTGATAATCGTTCACAGTGGGGAAAAGATCATCTTGTCAAATACGCTGTCACGAGCTTTCAACAATACATGGAAAAAAAGTGTTACACACTTGTCGACTCCCTGTACGAGACTCCATTATAATTATTAAGGTACTGCTTGTGTGTACCCCCGCGTCATAACTTGCGGAAGAAGCGCCATTGAAGAGGGCAGCGATGTCTAAACAAGAGTGATGAGATAAAAAAATGATAACACGAATCGCACGCACCATATCAAGCCGAACTATTCGACAGAAGTGCACTCAGTACATCGTTAAAGGCACTACTACTAATCTCTAGTTCAGTTCCTGATAAAGCGGCTGGCCACTCGATCAGCGTCGGCAAGATCCAACTGCAGGGAAAGCTCAAATGAGTATTTGAAAGAAAAACTATGGATACGCATATTTACCAGGAATTCAGAAAAGTGATCATCCCGAAGATGGTGCCTGTGAGCAATACGTACTTCCGGTGCCTCTTATCTCTGGATGTAACCTAAGTTGGCATTGTCAGCGCGGAGCCCGAACAGCGAGATGCCCTTGGCTAGGCCATGCCTCAGAGCCTCCTTCATAGAGAATGAGAGCAGGCTGGAAAACATGAAGTCAAAACATATCGGTGTAGTCTTGCGCAAGATTCAACTGACCTTGTCGTGATCACGGACAATACGGTGGAGATTAAAGAAACTAGAGGGCGCCGTAAAGCCCATCCAAAACAAAGAAATAATGGACTGTGACCATGGCTGCCACTAATAGAAAACTATGACGGATACCTGTCGGTGTTCTCAGCATCGTGCAAGGAACGCAAATAAGCAAGGGGATATACCTCAAATTTGAAAGACAACGAGGCCATCGTTGACAACATTGCAAGGCGAGCATGCTATCCAGCCACTGAGACTGCGCGATCAGAGAAGAAGCCTTATAGTTGGCATATTTCCGGATAACAGGCACGCCCATTTGAGTTTTCTTCTCGAACGTACTTCCACGCTTGACGCACATGGCTGGATAAGGTAGGCTGTGTTTGCATTTACAAGACATTCATTCTACCACATTCCTTTTGCAAACTTGAATGATCGGCGATCCAGAGTCTCCTATTTCTTATCACGGAGCCGGGTAATGCAACCACTCGAGACCCGAGCGTCATCGGAGAAGAGTGTCGAATAGTTAAAAATTGTTCGGAACGACATTCCATGGGAATGAGTAGCTGTGTCGAACGTGTGGGTGCTTAATGTACGACATGAGAGTTGCTTGGTCGCTGCGGCGAAACGTATCTGCAGTGCAGAGCTACTTGATAGAATGGAATTGTGATCTCCTCACAAATGAGCGCCGACTCTGTAAATGTACTCGTTAAGCATGATTTGAATTGGAAACCCACCACCCGAATAGAACTGACCGACGATTTTATCAAGAGGTACTTCCTTTTCCTCAAGTTTTGACCTACAATTGTACCGGCCAGACAGGGAATTTAGAATTAAAAAACTTCGAGATCTAGACACTGTGGAGAGGCAATCATCCATCAGAGCATAGCGTTGCCCGTGTGGGTTGAGCGTGTTTTGGTATAGATGACCACCAGTGATGGGGCCTTCAAGTTGAGGCATAATACACCCAGCCAATACTTGATACCAACCTGTCCGAGTCCGCGTGCAAATAACCTCTGGTGGAGCAGGGTGGAGCAGAATGGAACGTTGCTGTAAATGTAATAGGGCATGTACATCACCCCGGAGCCGGATCTGGCTTGAACGAGTACAGGCCAGGGATCAATATTAAAATATGGAACGTTGAATTTTGATTGCGCCATACGGCTAGATGAATTCCTTCTATGGTATAATGGTTCTGACCTATTATACACTCGAGGTCAACGTCCGAGAGGTGCGTACAGAAATAAACGTGGAAGAGGATTAGAAAAGAGGGCAGGCCAGCGTCAGCAACGCCACGGCAGAGCGGAGCATCAATTGTAATTCATGTCAGCAGTGGGCACCACCTCATTTCCTTTTTACTCTTCTAAACCAAACCAACTGACCTATGAGGCTCAAAGTCCAAACGGGAATGTGTGACTGCCAAAACCAATGGTCATTCGAGCAACAAGTAAAAATTGAAATCTACCTTGTCAATCTTGAGTCGTTTGCAATTCCGGTTGACCATCCGCAGATTCAAACAACGAAACTTGCATATGTCGAACAGCCTGCGCAATTTGGGACGGTGATATAGAAAACACTCTGTACAAGCACAGGTACAGGCCACAGGCCTGGACGTAACTTCCCTTGCTCGTTCCGTCTACGCATGGCGAGATTTAATGGGAATTCTAGGATAATTGCCGAACTTCATTAGTATATAAATCTGAGCCCAGCTGGGGCTGCTCCTGTGATCTGACAACAAATAATTGCAGAAGATCCGAATCGCACCAGGCCGTCAGGCCTTCAGGAGGCAGCTTGCAGTGGCATTGTCATGCCCTTAGGTAACTACGTGGGAACAGGGAAGCATTGAGAAAATGATGTGAGCGGCAGCTTTAGCACCCAGCATGTGTAGGGAGTTGTGTTAGAATGTATCGTGTTCGGGAGCGATATCGATACATGGCCTCAGCATCCACTACCATTGGGAGGATATGCAGGTGGGAGCATAGACGGAGTGCGGTAAATGACCCTTGGAATACTGATAACAGTGGAGCAACCAAGATGCGAGCCCGTCAAATACAGCACGCGGATGTGCATCCAACTTGAAAAAACCTTTCACGAGAAGGTCATTGTCAAGGTAAATGGGAAAAAAGGAACTGTGATCGCCGTCGAGTCGCCTGAGAGTTCCTGATATCCTTCCAACGCAATCAAGGAGGGCGTGCTTTGCACTGTGTGGTGGTTGGTTTCTGCCTGAGGAAAACGCGGGCATGCCTCGGGAAATTTTGTAACGAGGGGGATGTGTTCGCGGCTGTCTCTACAACAACAAAAAGAAGGTCCGTGACATTGACGAAAGGTGCAAAATTGAAATTACACCAATTCAACCGGGTCAAGGAATCTGATACAGATTGCTATGTATGCAGGGTGGGGAGATTGGAGGTGCTTCCATGCTGTCGAGTCAGGCTGCGTACAATGCAGATGTTCAAGCCGGGTATCGAATGTACCGTGTCTTCCGTGGTCAGGATCGTTAAGTTCTCCGATGTGGCACAACAGATTCCCATTGATCGTAATGAAGGGCCAACAGCATAAGGGACAGGAAGTGTAATTGTTGTACTTTGAGCCGTCCGGCTTAACGACAGCAAGAATACGCATGTCTCGACATATGGACAGGGCTGTGAGAAGATGAAAATAGTCAATGGTTGGAATGTCCGATGGTGTGGACATGCCACAGGCGGCATGATGCAAGAATCGAAGAACCTCATGCTCGGATAATGAAAGCAAAAATTCTGTCGAGGTGCTCGGTGAGTGAATGTGACATTGTATCATGAAGAAAAGGAATGGAAGAGAAGAATAATTGGGCTACCTTATGACTAGTAGTCCGCACTGACCGCTTATGATCGGAGTCCCCGTTACACAACCGGTTCTATCCCAGTCCGCTGAGCCGAAAGCAGGTCCATGACACCATAGTGATTTTGATGCAGATAGAAGTGAGTATGTATTCCGGAGGATAGGCGGATTTACATGAAACAGATACAAATAAGTTATACCAGGGCGTAGCTATTTTGACGCGGCTAAGCATTGACGCGGGCCAGTGCTTTGTGATTATCAAGTTTGAACGTTTGAACGCCTTGTATCATACAAAACAAAACAGGCACAAACAACCATTAAATAAACGCATCATGATGTTCCTTTTGTTATTGCAATCAGCTGTAATCATTGCTGCAGTTAAGTGATGGTCTATTCAGCCTTGCCTCACCACTTGCGTCGTACGTGACTGGCCATACATTGAAGGTAACGGGCGGACGAGGAATCTAATGTCGCATTCTATTTCATGGCAACTATCTGCTGTGCAGTTGTATGATTTTCCGATATTTATTCACTGCTAGGACATCGAAACTTCAAACAATTGACGAGCGAAACGATCATGCATTAAACGTATCATTTTTGCCTCCCGTACCGATGAGCACATCGAGGGAAATGATAGGCCTATTGGCGATATCACCTGGTGAAGCGAAGTCCTCTAGAAATCGAAAGTAAAAGGTAGGTGGCACTTCTGTTCCATTTCGCAAGCATCGTGCAGATACTTTTCTTCTTCTTCACAGGTCGGGCCATCGGCCGTCCTGCTCTGTAACACGACCAGTATTTAGGCTAGAGTCGGGATCCATCTCATCTAAGTTCGACGTCGTACTCGAGACTGAAATCTGGTTCAGTCACGAGGTCTCAAAAATGCGGCATCCATGCCCATCCGCGCAACTCTAGCTACATCATCTCTGCTCAAGCCGAGACCTAGCGGAGGCTGCGCTAGAAGTAAAGAGTACTCTCCAAGGCAAGACGTTCTGAAAGGGAGCGCGTCGTCGGTCTGTTGATAATGCAAAGCGTTAGATGAAAGAGCCTGTGACACGTAAGATAGCCTGCTTACACAGATGACGATAGGATGGTCATTTTTTAGATAATAGCGAATATGATGCGCGTCGAGGGATGCGACAGTTTTACATCTAAAAGAAAGATTGGAATCGAGAGCTCGCAGAGTCAATGCATGGTCCCCTACAGAAGATTGGAGCTCAGGCATATCTCCATGCATGGTTTGTACCGTCCGTTCGCGCACGTGTTATTGGGTGACTCCGCTTGTTTGATCATCTCTTGAATATCCTTCATCGCAGCTCGCTCGGAAAATTTTTCTGCATCGGCCCAGAAAGACATCTGCACTTTTGCTTCCTCGGACTCAGTGCTATCTGAAACAAAGCGCAGGAAATAACCCTCTTTGAGATTTTGAAATCTGGCATGGAGAGGGTGGGAGGGATCTCTGAGTCCGGCTGGTGTGTGGGAGTTTGTTGTGCCCGTTGCACATTCAGACAATGAGCTGCATTCCGTCTCAGGCTGCGAAATATCCGCGAAGAACAAAGCCTTGAGTTCATCTGAAAGGAATGTCGCGTGTCCGAGTCGATCAGGACGACAACTAAGGAGTGCCAGAGAATCTTCCGTTGTATTCTTTGTAGACTACAAATCCGAATTTCATTGTTGAGCCGCTTGCACCAGTGTAGACATCACAAACCTCTGCGATGTGCACAGTCAACCCAAGACCGGCACCCTTAGCTCTTGATAGGTGCTGAGTGAAAGTTTGCATGTCGCCACTTCGTGGATCTCCACACACATCAATGCCTACGACTCTTCTGCCCCTGTTCTTCATCTCGATGGCAAGACTGATGCATTCTTCAACGTCCGAGTCACTCATGCGACGATCGACGGACACGATCAGGGCTGCCTGATCAGCAGGATACATTTCTATTTCATCAAGCACGATTGTGAGATACTTCTCTCGCGTCATGTGTGCCGTCGAACGAGGTGTAGTCCGTAGTTCAAGGTACGTGCACTGAGGGCTTTCCGCGCCATCACCTGTGGGGTTCAGAAACGACTGGAGGACTGCACGAGTAACGATCGCGACTGCTTCCGGAGTCGACGTTAGAGCGTAGATAGCGGGCATCAAAGAGAAAAAGTCAAATATTTCATTCAAGATGACTCCAGACTTGAGTTTTTCGATAGTGTCTGCGACCTCAGTTGTCTGTGCACTAGAATGCGGGTATTGCTGTGCAAGTTCCAGTATTGTTTTGATAGGTATAGATCCATTAAGATGAGCATGAAGTTCTGCCTTAGGGAGTGACTGAAGGAAAATTACGTCGTCAGAGCATAGCGATGCCAGAGCAGCAGCTGCAGGGCCCGCAATGTCTGACATTTCCAAGAGATAACCGACTGAGGGGGGAAACGACCCAAATGATAGCGAGAAAGACAAACCCCAAAATCTGAATAGGGCAAGGAATGGAGATGTGCGGATGGGGTAATACTATCCGGGCCGTTCCACTCAGAGGGCAACTTGAAGATAAATGTAAGTACTTATCCCCAGTGAGAATCGACAATCGGTTGTACCTGTGTGAATATTAGCCCAGCGTGACACCGCCTGAAATCGTGGCAAATCCAGAGTGTAATATGATGTAAGCAGTTGTTGTACCTGTAATGCACACTGCAAAGACTGCAACAACATCTGTTACATGTAAAGCAAGCTGTAAAGCCTGTAACGCAGTGTTTTGACAAAGCACTACAATCAAGCTACAATAGATGCGAAGTTTTGGACGCAATAGTATGCATCCTTGGCTTTGCATCTAGAGTATCTCATCCTCTCCTGGGTCTGTGTCTCCCATCATGTTGTGCCGTTGTGGCACTCTGTCTGTAAAACACGAACACACTCTCGTGCTGACAACTTGCAAAATGCCCCATTCCAAGAAAGACTACTACTGTGACTGTGATTGCGCTGATCACGAATACCTTCTCACTCATGTCAGCAAATCAACATGGCTCCGTCACATGTCAAGGAGGAATAATCCAAAGGCTGCAGCAGCTTGTGCAGCACATTCTCTCAATGACCAGATCTCTTCTGACGAAGAAGAGGGTGAGACAGAGCAAGGAGATGCTTGTGACTCTGACCCTGAGCCATCCAGGGCCAATGATGAAGGCCGCATTAGTGCAAGTCGTGCAAATATTCCCCCAAGTGCTCTTCTTAGCCGCACAGCTGACATGAGCCACTCTGCAGGTCCCTCCTCTCAATCAGTGCGCCTGATATTCTGCCTTTTCACTCTAGATTAACTAAATATGTGTTGACAGAATCTTGATTTTGACACAGGAAACAAAGAGTTTCACTTACCACAACCATCAAGTCCACACAGGCCGACTGTGGAAGAAATCCCTGATGAGGATGATATTGTTAATTGAGACGAACCTCCTGCACTTCCACACTTTGATGTCCCACCTCCCCTTGATGCAGATGAGGAGACACTTGCAAATGATGTCTACATGAATGTCACCCTCGACGACTTGCGTATTTCATTAGCCTTTATTTTCGGACTCGCCAATGCTTCCCTGGATGACCCTGAATCTGGACTTAATGCTGCAGCTGTGGAACACATTCAAAATCCTCCACAACACCAACTTTCTCTTGATGAAGACCCTGATCTCAAGGCTGCTGTTAAGCTCTATCTTAAACTGTTGCATGCGGAGAAGGACTATGAAGCAGTGTGCAAAGTTTTGATGGAATCCAAAGATATTGAAGACTTCCCAATGCTCTACCAAGCCAAGCAAGCTGTCGAACAGCTGAGTGGCATCTCTGGTATGATGCATGATATGTGCTTCAATTTGTGCGTCGGTTTCACAGGTCAATTTGCACACCTTGAGTCTTGTCCGATATGTGGCTCTTCATGCTATGACCAGCTCATTCTTGTGCAAAGTAGTGGCAAGAAGAAAGTCGCATGCAAGCAGTTTCCAACTGTTCCCATCGGCCCACAACTCCAGGCTATGTTTTGTGATCCTCAGAGCGCCATTGATATGCAGTACCGTGAAGCTTGAACTTGGAAAATATTCGAAGAGTTGGAGTGAAATGAGGGCAAGGTCCATGTGTATGAGGATTTCCTTGATGGATCCGACTACATTAATGTGGTGCAAGAGGGTAAAATCAAGGACATGGACGTTGTTCTTATGATGTCGATCGATGGTGCTCAGCTCTACCAATGCAAGGAATCGGATTGTTGGATTGCGATTTGGGTTATATTTGATTGCTCTCCCGATTCACATTACAAAAAGAAACACGTCCTTCCAGGTGTTGTTATTCCCAGACCCAAGAAACCTCAAAATCTTGACTCATTCTTATTCCTGGGCTTCCACCACTTGGCTGCAATACAGAAGGAAGGCCTCAAAATATGGGATGCCTCTCGTAACATCAATTATTTGTCGTTTCTGTTCCTTGCACTTGGTACAGCCAACGGACCTGGACTTGCTTACCTGAATGGTTTTGTTGGACACCACGGAAAAAATGGTTGTCGTTTATACTGCGGGCTCAGAGGATGACACAAAATGGGCTGCGCACACTACTATCCTGTGCTGCTGAAACCACACGATTACAACATCGCCGGCTGCAGTCATCCTGATGTCAATGTCAACAACATTTGGGGTGCGTCTGCAGAGATGTATTGGAACAATCTGATCTATGTCCTACAATCATCCAATGAGACAGAGTACAAACAACGCCGACTTGAGACCGGCATCTCGAAACCCTCCATATTCCTTGGCTTTCCTGCTGAACGAACACTTGGAATTCCGAAGTGTTTTGGTTCTGACATAATGCACCTTCTCTCGCTCAACCTCCCCGATCTGCTCCTCAAACTCTGGCATGGGACCATAGAATGTGAGCCACCAGACACAAAGGCATCATGGTACTGGGTGTCTTTGATGGGAAACACCTGGAAAACCCTTGGAAAGGATGTTGCAGATACACATCCCTACCTCCCTGGCTCATTTGATCATGTCCCACGCAACATCACTGAGAAGATTAATAGTGGGTATAAGGCATGGGAATTCTGGCTGTTCCTCTATGGACTTGGACCAGCGGTGTTGTATAAGCATTTGCCAGATGATATATGGGAACATTTTTGCAGGCTTGTTCATGCTGTCCGTTTCATCTCCCAGCACTCAATCTCACGCGACGAGCTCTGTCTAGCCAACAGATTGTTCCTTGACTGGTCAAAAGAGTTCAAAATGATCTATTATCAGTGTCTCCCTACTTGCATCCACTTTGTATGGCAAAGTGTTCACGCTATTGATCATTATGGACATGAAGTGGAAACAAAGGGCCCCCTTATTTGCGCTTCTCAATGGACAATGGAGTGTATGATTGGCAACCTCGTTGAAGAAATTCAGCAACCTTCTAACCCATATGCAAACCTTGGTCAGCATGCAATCCACCATGCACAAATCAATGCTTTGAAATCCATCATACCCTCGCTTGACACCAGTGACATGAAACACCTTCCCCGCTTTGCAAAAGATCTCGGAAGTGGATATGCATTATTGAAGTGCCAAGATCAGACAAGCCATGCAACAACTGTTCATGAAGGGTGGGCTATTTGAGACTACATTGAACGTACCTGCTTTGATTCGCCCATCCTTCAACAGTTTTCAAATGATGGCACCATTCGTGTTTGTCAGTGGGCTCATCTACAGCTCCCAAACGGACAAATTGCCCGTTCTCTTTGGAAAGAAACACATTTCAATGCCAGACAGTCACAAAATGTCAAGGTATGGGTTCTCTTCTCTAGTTTCATGAATTCTTGTCTAATTACAATCATATTTAGATCATGCTTGATGGCAAACCCAGAGTTGGCGAAGTGCAATATTATATTGAGTGTTGTATTGACCACACAAGGCCTGTTGAAGCTCTCGCAGTTATCAAACTGTTCTCTCTCCCTCACCAGGAGCTCCTTCGACAGTCTCACACAACTTTCATATCCTGCCAATACCTTGGCGATGCTGGCACAATCGTCGTGAATGTCAAATTGATTCATTCTGTTGTTGCCATGGTCCTGCATAAACTCAATGATGAGGACCGGTTCTATATGGTTGAAAAGCCCGGTGCAGATGTGACTTACCTTGGTGGGTACTTAGAAGAGGACGAGCAAATAGTAGACCAGCAATAATGATAATATGAGCATCTGTACTTGCAAAGAAGTATATCACATGGGCTTGCTGTGGGGTTGGTTGACTAAGCACCCCAGATGGAACTTTGTATGTTGTCATCATGTCCTTGCTTCGTCCCACTTACCATCCGATATCCAGTCACTATGTCTGAGTCCTCTTCTGAAATGTCCTCCTCTAGCAGATATTCCCTGCTTGATGGGTTTTCCCCCTTGTCTTCTAAGAGCAGCATGAGCCCAGAGGTAAATGTCACACTTCATTTGATGTGCATATAGTCAGCACATAACCATAAAAACAGGTTTAAACAGTCTCTATCAATGACTTCAATATCATGCAGACTCAACAGAAGACAAACTGTCTCTCAAGGCACGTATAGTCACACTGACCAAAAATTCACACAAGCTAGAAGGCAAGGTTGCTTCTCTTGAAGGTGAACTACAATCTGCTTCATAAGTCTTTTAATTAAAATCCCGACACTTTTAATGATTCTCCAGCGAGTCATACCAGCAACTCCTTGAGCATCTTGATGCAGGCTCATCGAAGCGCCAGCACAACAGTACCCACGACTCGGACCCAGTTCTTGCTCTTGTTATGAACATCAACCCATACCCCCTGCTCGATGAACTGACAATCGACCAGCCACTGGCACAGAAGGTCTTCTATCAAAAGGTGGACTGGACCAATGAGAAGAAGAAGAACCGTGGTGTCCTCGAAGCACTCAATGTGGATGATAACTTGGGCCCGGGGCCATGTCACTACCTAGTTCAAAAGGACAGCAGCATGGCATCAGCAGAGGATCAAGAGACGATGTGTAACGAAGCATGCACAGTATGGACGACCATGAAAATTTACGGACACTGTGGGACAACATGGACCAAGACCGACACCTTTGGCCAATCTTTTTTTTATCATCACATGCATGCACGTTTCTCTGAGTTCCGGTACTGCACGCATGACTGGAAGGCATGTCAATTCGCAACAACCTATTTCCCTGCTTGAAGCGGAAAGCCCAAAGAGGATCCTGGTATCAAAATAGAACCTGTGAAGGTTGAATCTGCTCTGGACATCAAGATTGAAAGTGGTAGTACAGCCCCATTTCAGAGGATGAGCTCTTCCAAATCCAAACGCCCACCTTCCCTTACAATTTTCACTTCTGGTAGTTGGCAACCTAAGAAGACATGAGTCAACATTGACAATCCTCGCTCGGCCATTCAACGAGTTTCGTCTCTCCCATCTTCATTGATGGCTGAAAATAATCGCGCTATACAAGTAAGATCCCAGACTCCCTTATCATCGTCACATCATTTGCTAAAATATCAATAGATCATCAGTCCACTGACACACACTCAAGCTGCAGATCAACACGCATCGACTGATTCCAATGCGGATATTGTCTCCCTCAAGCCAAGTTCACTTACGATAGTCGAACCAGCAAACAACTACGACAGTATCATTGATGCTCGTATTGACAGCACTGTTGAATCCAACACATCCCTGACTGACTCAAATGTGACTCATTCTGTGCCTGAGGTTGCCCCCACATTGCCGCTGTCTTCTGTCTCATTCCACAGTCTTCTTGAGAACCTTGCATCATCATTGAAGACTCCCATTACTGGACCAATCATCCCCGCTTTCGCTAACATGACACTTGCAGATATTCCTATGACCCAACGAGTTGGACCCAGAATGCAACCACCTGCTGCCAGTATGCCGCCATTGATTGGCAATCCAAAGAAGAAAAGAGAATTAAACCTGAACGCTGCACTGCGTCCCACCAAATCAAATACTGCTAGGTGTGTTCACTTTTTGCATGCTATGTTACAATGGATCACACTCTCAATGTTATCTGCCACTGTAGAAACCTCTGTGCTATCGCATACAAAGAACAAAATAAAGGAAGAGTCGTTACCGTCGGTGAATTTGCTGCATACTGGGACAATCTGTCCGAAGAGATGCGAAAGGTATGTATATCAGTTCATGTTAGCACCGAGTCATATTCTTACTTCCCCACGGTAGCCATTTGTTGATCAGGTCGAGCAAATCAAATGGGTACACCCTCATACAGTACTGATGAGACGATGCTGATACTAACTATATTCTCGCATAGGCTAAAGCAAGCGCTATCGAGTGCGCTACCAGTAGCGTGGTCAACAACAGTCACTCCCAGGCATAACTTACACCATCATTGCTGTCATGTCTCTTATCACTGTCATTATTGCTGTCCAGTTCTGCCATCGTTTTGTTGCTCTGCTCACTGTTTTTTTGTACTAGATGTGCATGTATATTATGATTCGACCCATGCTGGATTGCACGCATAGCTTGTCTCACTCAATTTGACTAGTTTTGACTCGAATTGTGCTACAACAACAAAACTTGGTAAATATCAGCTAAGCTAGTGTACTCACATAGCTTGACTAGCCTCATTTTCCCTAGAAGCTCAAAGGCCCCAAAAACGGTTGATCTGCCAAGTTCTGACAATATTTCGTGACACCAATACTTAACAAGCTCTGCATGGGTACACCCAATATCCACTTCTCACTGGGACTTATAACTGGGCTGTCAGTACATGTTCTAAGAGTCACAGCTTTCAAGTCCCAGTGAGAAGTGGATATTGGGTGTACCCATGCAGAGCTTGTTAAGTATTGGTGTCACGAAATATTGTCAGAACTTGGCAGATCAACCGTTTTTGGGGCCTTTGAGCTTCTAGGGAAAATGAGGCTAGTCAAGCTATGTGAGTACACTAGCTTAGCTGATATTTACCAAGTTTTGTTGTTGTAGCACAATTCGAGTCAAAACTAGTCAAATTGAGTGAGACAAGCTATGCGTGCAATCCAGCATGGGTCGAATCATAATATACATGCACATCTAGTACAAAAAAACAGTGAGCAGAGCAACAAAACGATGGCAGAACTGGACAGCAATAATGACAGTGATAAGAGACATGACAGCAATGATGGTGTAAGTTATGCCTGGGAGTGACTGTTGTTGACCACG